AGAGACAATTCCTAATTGAATACTCTTTATTTCTTTTTCTTGCCTGATTGCTCTGTCTAAGAACTTCCAATACTATGTTAAATAGGAATGGTGAGAGAGGGCACCCTTGTCTAGTGCTAGTTTTCAAAGGGGAATGCTTCCAGTTTTTATCCATTCAGTATGATATTGGCTGTAGGTTTGTCATAGATAGCTTTCATTATTTTGAGATATGTTCCATCAATACCTAGTTTATTGAGAGTTTTTAGTATAAACAGCTGTTCAATTTTGTTGAAGGCCTTTTCCACATCTATTGAGATAATCATGTGGTTTTTGTCTTTGGTTCTGTTTATGTGATTGATTACATTTATAGATTTTTGTGGGTTGAACCAGTCTTGCATCCCCAGGATGAAGCCTACTTGATCATGATGGATAAGCTTTTTGTTGTGCTGTTGCATTCAGTTTGCCAGATTTTATTGAAGATTTTTGCATCTATGTTCATCATGGATATTGGCCTGAAATTTTCTTTTTTACTTGTGTCTCTGCCTGGTTTTGGTATTAGGATGATGTTGGTCTCATAAAATGAGTTAGGGAGTATTCCCAATTTTTGTATTGTTTGGAATAGTTTCAGAACGAAGGGTACCAGCTCCTCTTTGAACATCTGGTAGAATTTGGCTGTGAACCCATCTGGACCTGGACTTTTTTTGGTTGGTAGGCTATTAATTGCTGCCTCAACTTCAGACCTTGTTATTATTCTATTCATGGTTTCGATTTCTTCCTGTTTAGTCTTGGGAGGGTGTAAGTGTCCAGAAATTTATCCATTTCTTCTAGATTTACTGGTTTATGTGCATAGTGTTGTTTGCAGTAGTCTCTGATGGTAGTTTGTATTTCTGTGGAATTGGTGGTGATAATCCCTTTATCATTTTTTATTGCATCTATTTGATTCTTCTCTCTTTTCTTTTTTATTAGCCTGGCTAGCAATCTATCTATTTTGTTGATCTTTAAAAAAAAAAAAACAGCTCCTTGATTTTTTTAAGGGTTTTTTGTGTCTCTACCTCCTTCAGTTCTGCTCTGATCTTAATTATGTCTTGTCTTCTGCTAGCTTTTGAATTTGTTTGATCTTGCTTCTCTAGTTCTTTTAATTTTGACAATAGGGTGTCGATTTTAGAACTTTCCTCACTTTTCATGTGGGCATTTAGTGCTATAAATTTCCCTCTAAATACTGCTTTAAATATGTCCCAGAGATTCCGGTATGTTGTGTCTTCATTCTTATTGGTTTCGAAGAACATCTTTATTTCTGCCTTCATTTCATTATTTATCCAGTAGTCATTCAGGAGCAGGTTGTTTAGTTTCCATGTAGTTGTTCGGTTTTATGTGATTTTTCTTAGTCCTGAGTTCTTTTTTGATTGCGCTGTGGTCTGAGAGACTGGTTGTTATTATTTCCATTCTTTTGCATTTGCTGAGGAGTGATTTACTTCCAACTATGCAGCTAATTTTAGAGTAAGTGCATTTTGGTGCTGAGAAGAATGTATATTCTGTGGATTTGGGGTGGAAAGTTCTATAGTTGTCTATTACATCCAGTTGGTCCAGATCTGAGTTCAAGTCCTGGATATCCTTGTTAATTTTCTGTCTCGTTGATCTGTCTAATATTGACAGTGGAGTGTTAAAGTCACCCACTATCATTGTGTGGGAGTCTAAGTCTCTTTGTAGGTGGTTAAGAACTTGCTTTATGTAGCTGGGTACTCCTGTATTGGGCGCATATATATTTAGGATCATTAGCTCTACTTGTTGCATTGATCCTTTTACCATTATGTAATGCCCTTCTTTGCCTCTTTTGCTCTTTGTTGGTTTAAAGTCTCTTTTATCAGAGACTAGGATTGCAACCCCTGCTTTTTTTTTTTTTTTGCTCTCCATTTGCTTGGTAAATCTTCCTCCATCCCTTTATTTTGAGGCTATGTGTGTCCTTGCATGGGAGATGGGTTTTCTGAATACAGCACACCGATGTTTCTTGACTTTTTATCTGGTTTACCAGTCTGTGTCTTTTGATTTAGCCTGTTTACATTTAAGGTTAATATTGTTATGTGTGAATTTGATCCTGCCATTTTGATACTAGCTGGTTGTTTTGCTCATTAGTTGACACAGTTTCTTCATTGTTTCGATGGTCTTTACCATTTGGTACGTTTTTGCAGTGGCTGGTACTGGTTGTTCCTTTCTATGTTTAGTGTTTCCTTCAGGAGCTCTTGTAAGGCAGGCCTGGTGATGATGAAATCTCTCAGCAATTCCTTGTCCGTAAAGGGTTTTATTTCTCCCTCACTTATAAAGCTGAATTTGGCTGGATATGAAATTCAAGGTTGAAAGTTCTTTTCTTTAAGGATGTTAAATATTGGCCTCCACTCTCTTCTGGCTTGTAGGATTTCTGCCGAGAGATCCACTGTGAGTCTGATAGGCTTCCCTTTGTGGGTAACCTGACCTTTCTCTCTGGCTGCTCTTAGCGTTTTTTCCTTCATTTCAACCCTGCTGAATCTGATGATTATGAGCCTTGGGGTTGCTTTTCTTAAGGAATATATTTGTGGTGTTCTCTGTATTTCCTGGATTTTACTGTTAGTCTGCCTTGCTTGGTTGGGGAAAATCTCCTGAATAATATCCTGAAGAATGTTTTCCAGCTTAGAATCATCCTCCCCGTCACATTCAGGTACACCAATAAAACAGATGTGAAGGACCTCTTCAAGGAGAACTACAAACCACTGCTCAAGGAAATAAAAGAGGACATAAACAGATGTAAAAACATTCCATGCTCATGGTTAGGAAGAATCAATATCATGAAAATGGCCATACTGCCCAAAGTAATTTATATAGATTCAATGCTATCCCCATCAGGCTACCATTGAACTTCTTCACAGAACTGGGAAAAAAAACACCTTAAACTTAAACATTATATGGAACCAAAAAAGAGCCCACATAGCCAAGACAATCCTAAGAAAAAAGGGTAAAGCTGGAGGCATCACACTACCTGACTTCAAACTATACTATAAGGCTACAGTAATCAAAACAGCATGGTACTGGTACCAAAATATAGATATAGACCAAGGGAACAGAACAGAGGCCTCAGAAATAATGCCACACACCTACAACCATCTGATCTTTGACAAACCTGACAAAAAACAAGCAATGGGGAAAGGATTCCCTGTTTAATAAATGGTGTTGGGAAAACTGGCTAACCATGTGCAGAAAGCTGAAACTGTACCCATTCCTTATACCTTAGACAAAAATTAACTCCAGACGGATTAAAGATTTAAACATAAGACTTAACACCATAAAACCCTAGAAGAAAACCTAAGCAATATCATTCAAGGTATAGGCAAGGACTTCATGACTAAAATACCAAAAGCAATGGCAACAAAAGCCAAAATAGATAAATGGGATTGAATTAAACTTAAGAGCTTCTGTACGGCAAAAGAAACAATCATTAGAGTGAACTGGCAACCAACAGAATGGGAAAAAAAGTTTGCAAGCTACCCATCTGACAATGGGCTAATATTCAGGATCTACAAAGAACTAAAACAAACTTACAAGAAAACAACAAACAACCCCATCAAAAAGTGGGCAAAGGATATGAACAGGCACTTTTTAAAAGAAGATGTTTATGCAGCCAACAAACATATGAAAAAAGCTCACCCACCATTAGAGAAATGCAAATCAAAACCACATTGAGATACCATCTCACTTCAGTTAGAATGGCAATCATTAAAAAAATCTAGAGCCAACAGATGCTGGAGAAGATGTGCAGAAATAGGAACACTTTTACACTGTTCCAACCATGGTGGAAGACAGTGTGGTGATTCCTCAAGGAGCTAGAAATAGAAATTCCATTTGACCCAGCAATCCCATTACTGGATATATACCTAAAGAACTATAAATCATTCTATTATAAAGACACATGCATATGTATGTTCACTGCGGCACTGTTTACAATAGCAAAGACTTGGAAGTAACCCAAATGCCCATCAGGGATAGACTGGATAAAGAAAATGTGGCACATATACACCACGCAACACTATGCAGCCATAAAAAAAGAATGAGTTCATGTCCTTTGCAGGGACATGGGTGAATCAGGAAACCATCATTCTCAGCAAACTGACACAAGAACAGAAAACCAAACACCATATGTTCTCACTCATAAGTGGGTGTTGAACAATGAGAACACACGGGGACACATGAAGGAGAACATCACACAGTGGGGTCTGTTGAGGAGTAGGGAGCTAGGGGAGCCATAGCAGGGGGTGGGGAGGTTGGGGAGAGATAACATTAGGAGAAATACCTAATGTAGGTGAAGGGGGGATGGAGGTAGCAAACCACCAAGGCATGTGTGTACCTATGTAACAAACCTGCAAGATCTGCACATGTACCCCAGAACTTAAAGTAAAATAATAAAAAAAGGTTGCAAAAAAAAAAAAGATGGTCATGTATAGACTTTTTTTCTTGTCATTATTCCCTAAACAATATGGTATAACAACTATTTACATACCATTTGCATTGTATTAGGGATTATAAGTAACCTAGATATGATTTAAAGAATAGAGGAGGAGGAGCGTAGGTTATGTGCAAATAAATACTAAGCCTTTTTATTTAAGGGACTTGAGCAGCAAGAATTTTGGTTTCTTTGGGATCTTGGAATCAATCCCCAGCAGATATCAATTGTCTTATTTAAATGATCACAAGCACCTTACAAAGTAAACATCATTAACCCCACCTTAGAGCTGGGGAAAGTGATAATGATTTTACATTACAGGCCTGGGGTCATACATGCAGGAAGTCAGGGAGTAGGAAGTCAACTCAGCCCTTTCTGAGACCAGAGCCTAAGCACTCGATGGTCAGACAGGAGAGTTAACTGGCGTCTAGATATTCCGAGGGAAAACAAATGATGAGGAAACATTGAATGTCAATGCATAAGAAATGTTAGGACCTGTTACATAAATCTCTAGCTCTTCCTTTAACTTTTTTTTCTTCTGCATTATTTCCTTTAGTTGCTGGAAATCTTTTTGCTGCATTGTCTGTGATGATAGCTGGCTTCTTTGAAATACACAGAAAACACTTCCCTCCAGTGGAGCAGCCCCTTTCAGGAAAAGTTCTCACTGTTTCCTCCATGCCCTGTTTCTACCTGATTCTTCAGTATGTTTTACTTGGAGTGGCAGAAACATTGGTAAACCCAGCCTGTAAGTAAACACTTTTTCAACTAATGTTACAACATACTGAACCTTTACACAGAACACATCACCTCAACCAGAACAATTAAAATGGCAGGTGATCTATTCACACCCTAGAGAGTTCCCACAATACTTAAAACAAATTTATTTCTTTCATTTTTACAAAACATTTCATTTCTCCTCAGTCCTCTACCACATACAGAACAATTATCAATTCCGCCTGGATGTAAATGGAGCAAAATATTTTTAACCTGGTTAAAGGCAATAACCATTCTGTCAGACATACCAGAGGAGGAAAACCTCTGTTAAAATCCAGGAGACAACTCCAGAACACTTAAGATGAAAACTCTTCTCTCTTTCCTCCTCTCACCTCCCTCCCTCTCACTCACAAACTCACACACATACCCCTCCAAAAATGACATTTAATGTTCTTTGAGAGTATATAAACATGCAAATGAAATGAAAATTTAAGCCAATTTTCCAGATAACTCAATGTCTTTAAATTAAATTACAGTAGATTAAATGTGATCACTAATGTTTCATAAGACAAGTTCAAAATAAGTTTATTAAATGTCAAGGGTTTCTGAATTATCTAGATTGCTTATATTAATTAAACTAGCCATTTTACAATTTATCACAATATTTCAGTGACTTCTTGCAATACAGTAATGTGTGTGTACATATACTTATCAGTGTAATTGATTACATCTTATGTTTCTAACTTCCTTAAATTTTCCGGTAGTAAGAGCCGTGATTGTAACTCAACCCCCCATTATACTTTACAGATAATATAATTATAACTTCTAACTATCTTCCTGTCTCCAGTCTCTCTCCCATTCTATCAACTGGCACATGGATTTTAGAGTAGTCATCCTAAATAACAATCCTAACCATTCCATTTGTGTCTAAAATCTTCAATGAACCTATTATCTTCAAAGTTGTTTCCAAACTTTTTAAAGATAAATAGTTAATACATATGTATTTAAACACATACATACTTATGATACCAAAGCAATTCACTAAAAAATGAAAATAAAATTAAGTTTGAATATAGTTTTATATATACATATATATGTGTCTCAGACTTCTTTTTTTGTAATTTTAAATCATTTCTTTTCATATATTTTACATACATAAATTACTTTATGAGACTTTCTACTGGGGACCTCACTGTTTAACATTGCAAGGAAGACAAAAGAAGTGTAAAGCAATGCTACTACACAAATATTTGTGATTTCCTCTGATCCTATTCCCAAAAATGTGTTGGAAGTAGTCAGCCAAAACTTTCTGGGCTGGTACAGAGTAAATAATGAGGAAAGGTAATGAGTGAATCTGGGGAGGAAATTCCTAGGCAGCTTAGCAATAATGATTCGACATACAAAAGCCAGAGAGGTACATGAAACCAACAACTGTTAAAAAGGCAGATCATGTACTATACTTCACTTAATCCACCCCTCCTTGATATACTCATCAGGAGATCAGGTCTAACTGAAGTCCTAGCTAAGTCAACTGACTCATCTGCCATCAGGGTCATGGGCCAGGGACTGAAAGAATTTGGTTTGATTTCTAGCCTTTCCATTACTACCTACCTAAACTTGGGAACTCATATAACCTCCAAGCCTCACTTTTCTGGTATTCAAAATAGAAATAATTTTATTCTTCCTTATATCAGAGCACTGATAGGGTAAGAATCAACAGGAATGAGAGACGACTCCTTCAAAATCAAATGACATAAAATATTAAAGGGTATTTTGAACTATAAAATCAAGTATTACCCTTCTGGGAGCCAGTACAGCATAGAGGTTAGGCTTTATGGTCTTAAAGTCAGACAGACTTGAATTCAAACCCAGTTCTGCCACTGACTAACTCTGTGACCTTGGGAAAAGTATTCCTCATTTCTGGGCTTTTCTCATCATCTGTAAAACAGGGAGTTGATCAAATGACTAAGTGGAAGATTTTATGTAAAGCAAAAACCGCAGTGCCTAGAATATAGACAGCATTCAATAATTAGCAGTTATAAAGTTTTGCTGTTATCATTACTAAAAGTAATGGCAAAAACGCAATTACTTTTGTACCAACCTAATAATATCATCTTTCACATGAATTGATAGTGCCAGACGCAGAACAGAAGCACAGGTGTCCTGCTCCCAGCTCTTTTTGCCATAAGCAACCTGAACAGCCAGGAGACCTGGCAGTGTAAGCAGAGCTGTCTCCCACCAGAGTCATCCTACATCCGTCTCTTTCCTCTTACCTCTCCCCTCTAATCCAACAGCAAGTCCCAGCTTTTACTCTGAAATAGAACTTAAATCTGGCCACAGCTCACTATCCCCTTTGTTCTCCTCCTGGCCTACAACACCATCATCTCTAGCCCTGATTCCACCAGAGCCTCTGAAACTTTCTCCCTGCTTCCTCTCCTGCCCTATGAGTCCATTCTCTGTTCTTCTCAAAATATAAGTCCTTTCGTTCCCCCGCTTGAAATTCCACAGTAGGATTTTAGAGAGAAATTCCTCACCGTGGTGAATAAGGCTCCACATGATTTGGTCTCTGGGTGTTGTTCCATCTACATTTGGTTACATTCTGCCCCTTGACCACATCTCCAGAAGTGTGTGTGTTTCTAAGATGCTAGACTTCTTTCTACCGCAAGGCCTTTGCACTTGCTTTTCTCTTTATTAAGAATTCCCTTTCCTCTGTTTTCAAATGAGTGACTTCTTCTCATTTTTGTGCCTTCTCAAAGGTCATCTCTTTGGAGGGGCTTCCTTGAGCATTCCATCACTTTCTATTTCATTACTCTGAATTTTTTTTTAATGGTACTTGTCAGAATCTGAAATTACTTTATTTATATTTGTATTGCCTGACTCACAATGTGAGAATATACACTCCTGATGTCAGTGTATGTTTTTCCTTCCTGCAAAGTACATGTGCAAAATAGGTGATCAATCAATATATTTTGATTGAAGAAACAAACAAATGAAATCTATGGCTATTTTTATATGGTACGATAAAAACATATTATTCAAACACTTGACAATGTCCTACATTGATGGCATTAAGCAAGGAAACACAAAGAATCACTCCACAAATGACAGTGGACATAGTCTATCCTATTCAGACATGTTATACTTTGGAGATGAGCTAGAGAAAAAAAAGCAGTAGAAAACTTTTCAAATTATGTTTTCATTGTAGCAGTGTACACCTCAGTTGTCTCATACTCTACGTTTGCTTACTCAAAAAAATACTGTGTGGGTATCTACAATGTGCCTACTACTGCTCTCGAGGCTTTAGACGCATCAGTTAATAAAAATAAGACAAAAATGTCTGCCATGTAGAGCTTATAGCATTTCTGTGGTTGAGTAGTAGAGAGGAAGCCGGGAAGACAGAAGGCTCTAATCTGAGGAGGGTGCACAAAATTGTGATTAAGGAGTGGGTGCAGTTATTGTTCCAGGACATGGCTTTGCAGGCCAGTCTCTGTTACAATTACTCAACTATGTCATTGTGGTATGAAAGCAGCCGTAGACAACATATAATTAATGAGTGTGACTGTGTTCCAATAAAACTTTATTAAAATAGGTGGCAAGCTGAACATTACCTGGTCACATAGTATTGGCCAACTGCTTGTCTGAGGTACAAGGCATAGGCCATGACCTTGTGTGTGAGTGGAGTGGAAGCTAAGGTAGATTGGAGATCAAGGACATTGGAGGTCAAGGAACTGGACAACCAAGATTGAAAGGATGGATGGTTGGAAGGATGATCTATATGTATAGCAAAATTGCCAAGCATTAAGGCAGGAATAGTACCAGAGAGTGTGACAATGAGAGAGGAACTGATAGCTTTGAGAAAGAGGAAAACGTCCTATAGATTGGCAGATGACAGCACAAAAGAGAAATAGTAGATGATATAATCTGATAACATGAAGTTCAAAGCTGAAGCTTTTTTAGGGTGAAGGGGGAAATAATGGTCGAAAAATGGCAACACGATAAGGTTCCATTTACTGGGACTATGATAATTCACATGTTCAAAATAACTTCACCAAACACAATAAACACATTTTAACTGTTTAAGAACAACTAGAGTAAAAAGAATTTCCAGCAATAAGTCCCCAGTACCAGGTGCCTTAGGAAGGTGGTTATGGCCCTATATTTTGTAGATTCTGCATATGCTGTGATGCGGCATCTTTGCAAGCACTTACCAGCTACTATCTGGAGGCACATTTTTAGCACTCATTTGCAAGAAGACCAGCTTTCACATACACATCGAATATTTTTTCTATTGTATCTTCTTAGTAAAATGGGAATTTTAGAATCTTGACAGACTTGTTGATATTATGTACATTGTAATGGGCTAAAAGAAATATCTTGGAGGCTAAAAAACCAAATTGGTGATCACAAAAGTTTCAAAAGATCAGAACATGCAAGTAGATGCCTAAAAATGTAGATTTGAGAACTTGAAAAGCTAAGTCCTACGAAAGGGAACTGGAGGTTTTCAAACACGACTAAAATGACACCAAAGAGAGATTAACCAGCAGGCAGAGAGCTGGCAAAGTGTGTTCATGAATTATATACCATACCAGAAGTTCTAGCAAGAGAAAAGCATAGGATTAATAATTAACCAGCAGAGTAATAATGGGATTGTATGTTCTGCTTTTTCTCAGTGAAAGAAATCGGCCTACTTACTCTTTCTGCCCATTGCTAATTTCCTTGTATTTATGGAGAGGAAAGTTTATAAGCCAAATCCTTTTTATAACTGTGAATCATTTCTTCCCAAAGCCTATCCAGGCTTCCTCTCACACTCCCATTTGGACCTTTCTGAAAATACTCCAAGCTCCTGCTGGTGATTGGTACTACACAAAAGAGCTGTGTTACCTTGCCACCAATATTTAAAGCCTATTTTATTTATCACCATTTTTATCTATCACCATTATTATCTGCATCTATCACCATTATCATCTGTATTTTATCTATCACCATTATTATCTGCATCTCCAATCAGCATTTGTGGGAAAAGTGCGCATTTAGCACTGCTCTTTATATTAAATAATGTACTGTTTCTGCTCCGGAGTTAAAATCCAGGACAGATAAACTGATGCCTTTTCCCATCTCTCAGTTCCAGCACTTGGCACTTTTCTGAAGCACAAAGAGGGACTCCTTTAAATGTTTATGGGATAAATAAATCAAAACATGTAGAGGACACACCAAAAGTAAAACAGAAATGTTACATTAATGAAGGAAAGAGCGTTAATGCATTTACGTCATGTGTTAGTAAGTTCACGGAAAAGTTCTGGTAAATGCAGAGTTTTGCTGCAGCAAGGTATTAAGAAAGAAAAAAAAAATGGGGTAAATATTCCTGAGAGGAGCGGGAGGAGATAATAAGGTCTCTTACTTCTCACAGTAAAGGACACTAAAGGTTTCGAGTTTACAGTACAGTCATGTATCGCATAACAACATTTGGTCCATGATGGATCACATGGTGGTTTCATAAGATTATAATATTATATTTTCGTAAGAATATACAGGTATTGATCAACTTATGACCTATGCAACTTACGGCCATTCAACTTTACGACCACAATCGCTAGCCACGACTGCTCCGCGTCTGGCAGCGCAAACGTTGCCCATCCAATAAAATGTTTTGTACATGTTTACATATTTTGATATGTTTTGCAATTGGGAAAATGTTTCCTATGGTATTTTTTACACCTGTATTTTGTATTTTTGTATGCACCTGTATTTTGTAATTTTGTACGTTTTGCAAATATTAAACCAGTTGTACTGGTAATGCAGTGTTTTACTTAAACCTGACGAATGTAAAAATAAGAAACAAAATGGTGTAGAGATGATACAAATGGCATAAAATGAACAAAGAAAATTATGATATATAACAATAATTAAAGAAAATTACGATAAAATATGACTTAAAGATTTTGACAACATCATTTTACAGTACTGTACATATAGCCTACTCAACTTACGACCAACTCGTGTTACGACCGGTCTGTCGGAACCAATCGTGGTCGTAAGTCGAGCACTAGCTATATCTTTAACTGTATTATTTTTGAGTTTAGATATGTTCAGAATCACAAATACTTACCACTGTGCTCCAATTGCCAGCAGTATTCCGTACAGTCACACGCTGTACAGATTTGCTGCCTAGGAGAGTGAGAGGCTACCCATATAGCCTAGGCGTGTAGCAGGCTAGACCATCTAGGTTTGTGTAAGTACACTCTATGATGTTTGCACTTTGACAAAATCGCCTAATGACACATTTCTCAGGACATATCTCTATCACTAAGCCACGCATGACTGTACATCTGTTTTCTATCGTCACTTTCCTTTTTAAAATGAGCTTTAATATTTGTTTATGATTTCATTGTAGAAAACATTTGCAAAGCACAAAAGAGTAAGAGGAATATTAGAAATCCAGTAATTCACCCACTCAAAGCTAAGATTGTTAACAGTACTTAGCGTATTTCCTTACAACTTTTTGGCACACATATATAAAAGAGATTAGTATAATAAACTCCCTGTATCCATCTTCTGGCATCAATAATTTTCAACTCATAGCCAAAACTTTTTTCATCTCTACCCTCATTCACATATATTTTCCCTTCTTGCTGTATAATTTTGAAGCAATCCCAAGTATCATATTAAAATAAACATAAAATATTTTAACACATAGCCCTAAGATCATAGTGCATTTTAATATATTATGTTTATAAAGCAAGTACAAAATCTCATATACTTATTTTCATCTATTTCTGATTTCAAAAGCAAGTTGTTTTTAATAGAAAATTTTTAAAAAATTATCTTTGTGATTTTTTTTAACCTCTTGGCACAATCATTACTTCGCAAAAATGACATGGAAAGAAATGATAACCATTTTGGAGACTCAATGCTTAAGCTATTGTCTCTGTCTGAGTACCTCTCCTGAAATGAGATAATACATATTAAGGGCTTTGTACAGTGCCTGCACAAGTAGGAGCTACTCAGTTTGATAAGATTAATATTGTTAAAAATAACCCTTATTCAGGACCTACAAGTCAGTATTATACTAAGCACTTTACCTGTAGTATTGCAGGTAAGTGTCCCAACACCTCCGTGAGTGAAGAATGATATTATTCCCATTTCACAGAGTAGGATATTGAGGCTTGAAAAGTTTAAGTCACTTACCTAAAATCACAGAGATAGTAGGTAACTGACATGGTATTTTGACACTATCTTATCTAACTCCAGAGCCCATGCCCTTTACCTTGATGCAAATTTTATGTAATATAAGTTTTCTATAAGGAACCTAATGAATTACACAGAATCACAGAATTAATAGATTGTCATGATGTTATCTAATACAGGCCATCCCTCAATCCAAAATTTATCAGAAATATTCAATTTGGAGTAAAATTAGGTTGAATATATTAGGGGACTCAACTACTAAGTAATCAAATTCTCCTCGTAGCTGGGTCAAGGTATATTTTGTAGTATTTTATTCCTTGAAGACATCTGTAAATTGTATCACAGTATAGCTTACTATAGTAACCTTAACGAAGTCCAACACAAATTTTGACTGTGTCAGTAAATTTTCTTTGATATACAATCAACATCAATTTCAACAGTATCTATGAAAGTGTTTTCAGGAGAATGTTCTAAATTCTGACCTCTCTTTTTCTCTCAGTCTCTGTAATATCATACAGATTTGTTCCAAGCACCGTCAGAGGAACCTCCATGAATTTTCTGACACTGTTTAATGGATTTGGCTGTTTCACAGGGGCACTGCTGGTGGAGTTGGTATATCTCATCTCAGAAGGTAAAAACAGGTTCATGGCATGCTTATATACATTGATTTGATGACCAGGGAACTGGGAGACCAACCCTTAAGAGAGGGGCTTTGCCAGTGCAGTCTTCTTTTTTTAATTGATCCACTTTTGCAATTAAGATAGAATTAAGATAGGGAATACACTCTTGCTGTATTCATTAATTTCTGGGAATTGTTTTTCTTTTGATAGGAGGAGGTAATTATAGAATGTCACTTCTCATGAGACACTGTCTGCTGTCCTTAGTGTATTTTAAAACAAACTGGTCATTATATTCTTATTAGATCTTTCATTGAGGCCATATTCACTAATGCCTCACAGCTGTCATAGACAGGCCTCAGAAAAAGCAAGACCTGTGTAAACACAGGGCATAGGGTACCTAAATGATCTTTTTTTCTCTCATAATTTGCCATAGTTTTTATCTATGCAAACAAAGAGAAAGTGTGAGTTGAATAATGAATGATATTTGAAAATTTTCCCAATAGAGATTTTGGTCAGAAAAAACAACTAATCTGAAAAATTCAAATATTATTTGAAATACTGAAGTACCTACTAAAGCAAGTATTAGACTAAAGCAAATATTAACGAACTACTGTTTGGTTGCATGTTTCGATAAAAACAACAACCAGACAGGATGACAATAATGATTAGCCATCACAGTGAAATGACTTTGTCTGTATTTTAAATCTGGACTTTGGAAATTTTGTTCTAAATGCCAATATAGCTTTAATTTAATTTTAATTTACTTTTGCTTATTTAATGGAAATAATCACAAGTGTATTCTCTACTTTCAAAAACACTTATAGTTGTGCACTTAAAATGATGTAAGGAAAGTGTTAGTTTATGTTATCTTGTAACAAACAAATTTAATTTACGTGCTTTCAAACTATGGAAAAAATCAACTTCTATGAAGGAGACACTCTTTTTAACACTAAATCTCCACTCAAAAAATATTTATCAAGGACCCAATTTGTTCCAAGCACCACACTGGGCACTGGTGATACCATGGCAAGCAAAATAAACACTTGCAAGCCCTCAGGAAATTTCCAGGGGTACAAGGAAGCAATGAAATTTAAAGTGAAAAAGCCAATGGTATATATAGTAGCAAAGTTCTTGGGAAGAAACCTATTAATCCTTGATTGATGACTGACAAGATCAAACTCTACCCTTTTCTTAGTTATCTGTGAAAAATAAGGTAAAGCGTGTGTTGAATATTTACTATGTACTAGGCCATGTACTACATGGAATTGTGTGAGATATGGTCCAGTTCTCAAAGAAATCAAATTCAAACTGCCATACTAACTGTGTGAACTGTGGCAAGTTGCTGACTTCTCTAGTACTTAGATTCTTTGTACATAAACTAGAAACAAAGCACTGACATTAAGATTTTGTAAGATAACCTTGAAAAGTCTTACCTATATTCACACCTGAAACATTTTCAGTGTTGAACATGTTTCCTTTCTTTACATTGCTCAGCAAAGATATGTCCAAAAATTTGCTAAAACAGAATTTCTAGAATCAAATCACATTTGACATATACATGAAGACCTGCAAAGTCAAATATTACTACCAGTTTATCTTTTATACAAATGTAAATTTTTCATAGGCATGCTTAAGCAACTTACCCAGGGTTAGACCAAACAGCCTAGGTTAAGTTTTCCCCAAGACTACCCTCACTTTAGATACTAGCCACAAGTTTGGAAGTTCCTAGAGCTGTCATCACCTCTGACAAGCTGCCTATAAATGTGGGGGCCCCACAGACTCTCTCAGTTATGATAATTTGCTAGAATAATTCACAGAACTTAGAAAAGTATAATACTTATGATTACAGTTTATTATAGCAAAACAATACAAATCAGAATGAGCTAAAGCGAGAGGCACATGGAGCAAAGTCTCGGAGGTTTCTGAAAGTGGAGCTTCTTTCATCCTCAGGGATGCACTACCCACTGGACACATCAATGTGTGATGATATAAGAATAATGCCAACCAGGAGAGCTCACCTGAGCTTCATGCCCAACCTTTCTATTGAGACTTGATCACATAGGCACTATTGATTGAATCATTGTGAGCTCAATCTCCATCCTCCTTCTGCTCCACAGAAGTTGGGCTGGTATACGTGGCTCAAAGCTCAAAGTCTGATCATGTGGTTGGTCTTCCTGGCTGGCCACTCTCCATTCTGAGTCATCTCATTACCATAAATTATCTGTGGGCCCTCTCCATTCTGAGTTGCCTCATTAGCATAAACTATCAGATGGGAACTGAGGGTCCCACCATAAATAACAGACATTCTATAGACTGCCTCCACATATCAGTCCAGGCAAAATTTTTAAGCACATAACTATTCTTACAAAAGCATTTCACTGAAAATCTACATTTTTATTGAAAATCTGTTTAGTATGGTAGGAGCTTTTATGCATTATTGTAATTATTACAGCAACTTTATATTGTTATTCTTATTTTTTAAATGTAACAATTAAGGCAGAAAAAATACAGTCAAGTTCTCTAGTCACCACAGCTGGTAGCTGACAGAAATTTAATCCTCTTAGCATTCTGAAACCAATTCCAACATTGATTTCAATACACCAAGCAACTTGTAGGAATCCCCAGATGTAAGGGTTTTTAAGGACATTTGTTACTTTTGCAATATAAACTCCTTTGATGGAGGTCTGTATAATATCAATAATATTCTAGACATAGAACAAAGATGGAGAAACAAAAGTTTATGTAATTTTGGCACAATTTGGTGCCAATGAAAGGAAATTTATCAAGGACATATGGTGAGGGCATCCTAGCAAGATGGGTTCTGGGGTGGGGCACTTTCTCAGCTGTGCTCAAGAGAACACCGTTTAAATTACCACTAATCAATTTAAGCTACTTCTTCTTTTAAGTGTATTCTTTCCAGTTTATAATAATAGTGTGCTATATCAAATTATGTCCCAATAAATTAGAATCATATAGTTGAATATTACATTAGATCTCAACTAGTCTAACACTGTACCAAAAATAGAAGACGTAGTAACATAATCTAGTGCCCAGAAAGATTCTCTACTTTGAGAAAAAATCCGAGTGTACCCATCTATTGATTACCATGTTCTACAGAGTAAGTCTGATTTTCCATTCACATAGCAGGTCTTCAAACATTTGATACATACTTGGAGAAATAATATGGCATAGTGGTTAAGAGAATAGATTCTGGAGTCAGACTATCTGAATCTGAATCCAAGTACTCTAGCTATGTGTTCTCAGTTTCTATTTCAGTAATGATAATAAATAATTCGTTATGTTGTTCTGAAGATTAAGTAATTAATATGCATAGTAAACGTTCAATAAAGATTGCAATCATGATCCCTTCTATTTTACACACAAACCACCCTAGTCTTTTCATATTGCAGGATTCCTTGATTTTTCACTATCAAGGCCCCTCCATCTATTAAACATACAACAACTTGTCAGATTTTTCTTAAAATATGGCTTCAAAAATTGAACATAATATGGGTACAATCAGGGTACAAGATGGGTACAACCAGGATAAGTATGTTACTTTTATCAACCTGGACTCTCTCTCCCTCTCTGAATGCCAACAGAGATTTTGTTGATCTTTTCATAATTCCGTCCTGCTTATGGTCAATTAAAACTTGAAATCTTTTTTTAATTTTCAGGAGTTGCTTTCAGTTCAGTTCTATTCATCACAGTTCTTTTTTTCTAATTAAATGCAGCACTTTATTTTTATCTTTAATAAATGTCAACCCATCATCCTAAGTAATAGACATTTATGAAAATTGATTCTGTGCCATCTAGGGAATTACTAATCGTTACTTCTTTACTTGCTTTGTATCATCTGCAAATTTGGTAAGCAAGTTCCTAGACTTCTTCCAGGTAATTGATAACGTTTTTGAATTGGACAGGACCGAAAAAAAAGTCTTACAGAAAATTCCTAGACCTCATTGCAAGTTAATGACAATCCATTAATCCTCTCCTTTTCGATATAATCAGTTCCCAATTCACCTAATTACTATCATTCAGCCCACATACTTCTCCATCATTCACTAAATGACATCACAGGAGACTTTTCATACATTTTTCTGGAAAGAGGATAAGTCTCTCTTTGTGGCAGTCCCTTTAGCCATCAGAATAGTATTCCTCAATGAAAGAAATGAGGTTCATTTAGATGATCTGGCTATAATAATCCTATACTGGTGTAATAAATAAAGGCCCTAAAAGAGAGTGATGATAGCATGGTTTGGGGTAGGTCAGTATCTCTCTAAAACTGTTTTTTCTTAATTAAAAAAAGGAAATTGTACTTCACTTTTCTCAGAGAGGATGAAAGAATAAAATTAAATATTTGAAAATGTCTATGCCAGAGATTATTTTTAAATATAAAATTGTCATACATTATAATTGTCCACTTGGCTAAAAACAAGATCAGTCCACTCAAACAATCAGACCAATTTTTTTGGCAGAAGTGACTGTAATGAAACAAACACTCTAATTATATATTTAGGCACCCTACATCCTTCAGCATTTCATTTAGTATATAGGATATTTTCAACCTTTAAGGATTCATGTCAGCTGAGCATGTGTGCGTGTGAGTGTGTGAGAGTGTTAGTATACGACTGGAAAAGAAGATCAGCTATCACAGTCTTCCAGTCTCCAAGCTGCATTAGTCATTTTTAGCACCATGATGGAGAATGGTGTGAATGCGGTAAATTCAAAAGATTTCTCAAAACTTCACTGTGCAGACAGATAACTGCTAGAGTGACATTTTCAGTACAAGTGAGAAAACTGATCCTTCTGGGATCTCTAACTCTGAGTGCTTTAAAGGAGAAGATACAAGACTAAACCCATCCTCCTACACTAATCATTTCAGGAATAGTTTATCTAAAAGTAGCAATGCTAATATAAGGGAAGAAGAAGTCAGTCAAGCTGCTTATTTCGACTCTATCCCATTAGCAACAAGATCAATTTCCTCGCACTCATAAATTGGAACTTACCT